ATCTACGAAACTTTAAAAAACAAGGCATCGATTCAACTCCTGATGACAAGCCACCATCCAGCGAGGAAGCAATGCAAATGGCAACAAAAATCCGTCAGTATGCACAAGAATTACCAGACAGCGGTGATCAACGGGACAGTTATTTGCAACTAGCAAGAAAACTGTATGACGCGCAGGCAAACATTGTCATAAAGAATGCATCCAACAAAACAATCCAAAATACACATTTTTTTCCCAAGACCAAAAAAATAAACATTAAAATACTGTACGTATTTTACTGTTGTGATTTTTTTTTTTGGGGTACACCTGTATTGCAGTTTTTGTTGTATAAACAGTTTTTGGACAGTATATTTTTGTATTTTATTGATTGTGTTGTTCCACGTGCATTTTGTCAACATAATTGCAGGTTCATAAAGGACATGTACCATGCTCATTTCCCAAATGAGGAATTTCTGTTATCAGGACAGATTGGACAGCACAAACACGAGTCCGTACTAGAGAACATTTACTGTATATATATATCTCAAATTTGTATTTTCCGTAATTTTCAGGAAGGTCCACTTTCATCTCTGCTTTGAGCAGTAGGTGCGGGACACCCTGAACCAGTTGCCAGCCAATCACAGGGCACACACAGACGAATAACCATCCACACTCACACCTAGGACAATTTTGAGTGTTCAATCAGCCTGCCATGCATGTTTTTGGAATGCGGAAGGAAACTGGAGTACCCGGAGAAAACCCATGCAGGCTCAGGGGAGAACATGCAAACTCCACACACGGAGGCTGGAATTGAACCCGGTACCACTGTGAAGTCTACGTGCTAACCACTGGTTCACCGTGCTGCCTTTATTGAACTAATACAAATAAAACATTTGAAGTTGTTTCACTGTCAGTTACTATTACACTGCGTTTTACTGATGATTTTAATTTTTGCTGGGGTATTAGTTCCTATTTTTTATTCTTTTAAAGTTGTCAAATTACCGCATTAATTGCGATAAATTTATTACAGTCCCGTTTAGCGCGTTATGTTTTTTAAGAGTGTTAATCTAATATTTAATCTCTGCCTTAATATTTTCTGTAGGTGGGTTGCCTTTTTCTAATAGCCCTTTTTACGTGTTGGCTTCCTGTGTTTGAGTTGTTGAGGGTGAGGAAACAACTGTCAGTCACAGCCTGAAGCAGACATTGATTGGTTGCCATTATGTTGAGGCTTGTTTAGCCGAAGCTGATAGGCTCCCATTGGAGTTGGGCGGAGTAAGCAGCAGTGAGGTGTGGAGAGGTGAAAATGGAAGAGGATGTGAGAGTTCTCTGCACAATGAATGGAAAATTTACATTCCAAAAACGCCCTGATGACACAATTGATAAACGTAGTGTTGTATCTAATTTGTAAGGAGTTTGCTTACCACCGAAGCAGCTCAAATTTAGCCTCCCACATCAATGCAAAGCACCCAGTCGCGAGTGCAGCCACATCTAACATTAGCAAGCAAAGCATTAGCAATATAGCGAGCGAGTCATACATACCAAAGCTCTTCGGCAAACTAAACTGGAGAACAGCCCACGTACGCGGCATAGTTGATGTGTCCTCTGTAGACTACTCGAAGTGATTGATGTTTATTTCAGCACTTTTAGTTTGTCATGATGAACAGTGTTATTTTTGAAGTGCTAACTTACAGCACTGTGATTTAAGGGTCTGGTTTATTTATTGCTTATTTTCTGAAGCAAGTTCAGTGTTGCATACTTGTATTGCTCAGAAAAGTGTTCTTATTGTTTTTGATCTGTAAACCTAAGCACTTTTTAAGGACCTGATGTTCTATTTTATTTTATTTTTTGTAATTATTTGGAGATTCACAAAACATACAACACAGTGATATTCCCCCTCGTGGTCGAAACTAAAGGTTCCAGGTTGGACTTTGACTAGTCTCAAATCCAGCAGAATGTAAATGGGGACTGCATCTGTCAAAGTCTGCTGAAAAACAATCAAATACTTTATGCCACTTTTTCTTTTATCTTTTGATCTGCCTCAAAAATGTAATGAATTTAAAATGAAAATAGGGGTTTTCTCAGTAATTTTTAGATGAGATTAAAATATAGATTAATTCGATCAATTAATTACAGTCCCTAATTAATTAATTGCACATTTTTTTAATCGCTTGACAACACTACTTTTAAAGTGACACTAAATAACTGACCAGCTTTTCCAGCTGCTGCTTTTTGCAAACAAAGTTCTTTGCAAATATATCCTCAGCCACTGTCAATCTTCACATGATATGAAACTATGGTATGCCAAGTCTGTGCTTTTGCGACCAACTGAAAAAGTAACAGTAAAAGTAGTTCTTGAAAATATCATTCGACTGTTCATGCTTTTCCACACTGCACTGTGAATGTCTACGTGATGTGTTCATTTGGTCATATTTTATGACCAATTTATGCATAAATCCAGGTAATTCCACAGTGTTAATATACTCTCTCATGTGTGTGTCTTTGTGTATAATTAATGGATGAGCAAATAAAATGTGATTTGTTTTTCTAGTGGCGGGGGTCACCATGGACTTCAGGACCTGTTTTTGTCTTCGTGAGTTTTCACAGTGAATTCTGCAATAAATAATTTGTCATGTGAAATAAAAATGAATTGGGCTCTTATTCTTCTATATAGCACTGGACTCCCTCAAAAGAGCATCAAATAGCTGCGGCTCAGGTTCTGACCAAAACAAAGAGATCAGAACATAGAACTGCAGGTCTCGTCTTTACACTGGCTCCTAGTTAGCTATGGAATAGACTTTAAAGGTGTGCAACTGGTCAGGGGAGGCGATATAGGCAGATTTTCTTCATCGCTTTTAAAATGCCAGTTTTAATGCATTAGAACTGACAAGCCACGTATTGAGTAATTCAACATACTATTGACATACTTTTTTTTCATTCATTTCAGACATTTTTATTCAATTATATAACAAATGTAGAACATCCATCAATTTCCTGAACCGCTTTATCCTCACAAGGGTCACTGGGGGTGCCGGAACCTATCCCAGCTGTCTTCGGGCAGTAGACAGGGGACACCCTGAACCGGTTGCCAGCCAATCTCAGGACACACAGAGATGAACAACCATCCGAGCTCACACTGACACCTAAGGACAATTTATAGTGTTCAATCAGCCTGCCATGCATGTTTTTGGAATGTGGGAGGAAACCGGAGTACCCGGAGAAAACCCACGCAGGCACGGAGAGAACATGCAAACTCCACACAGGAAGGCCGATGCTGAAATCAAACCCAATACCTCTGCACTGTGAGGTCGTCGTGCTAACCACTGGACCACTCGGCCGCCCACATGTAGAACAATATGCTGTTTCAAAGTGCTCTATAAATACAGTTGAGTTGAGTAAATAACACTGAGTGAGTAAAAATGGAGCCCTCAGGAATAATGAATCCGCCTTAAAATGTAAACAGTTTTAAAGTTAATGCGATTGATCCCTGCATTCGTCATGTGGCTGCCGGCTAGTTCGTAGCGGTTAAACAAGGTAGACTATGCAAGCTCTGCTTGTATTTTCATACTTTCCACTTGGGTTCAACTTGTTTAAATGATTCAAAAGATTTGTTTTATTGCCTTGTTTTTGACAACACACTGCACAACAGCTTTCTCTTCCATATCGCTCTGTAGATCCCGCCACAACAGTGATGGGGAGGACTTCTCGTCTAAAAAAGCTTCATCTTCGGAACTCGTGGCGAGTCATCAGCGGCACGTTTAGTCATTGTTACAATTACTTTGTTTACTACCACTTTCATTTATTGGTCAATTTTCTTGACTTCAACTTGCAAACCAAAGTTAGAAGGAAAAGCTGGACTCTGGCTACAGCCGCGAACATTTCCGCCTCTGAGGGAGTAAATACACATTCACAGCTTCCTGTGGTCATGTAATATCAGTTACATAAGCACTTTCTGCCACTTGGCGACGATGGGGCAAATGCCAGTTATTGACCTGTACACAATAAGTAGAAAAAGGAAACCAAACAGCAAAACTCATAAGTAAACATGAAAAAAATAAACCTAAAACAAAAACAGAAATCCAAGTGGGTGCCAAACCTCACCAAAAGAGAATGAAGACCCTGTCTTCTTTTGCGGTCTCCCTGACTTCACTGTCCCTCCACTTAAAGCATTTCATTGCTTCACTTTTTTTTTTCTAAACTTGAAGTAGGCAGTAATCTTTCTTTTCATGGAACTTGGCTTGTAAAGAGAACATCAAAATTCAATAACCACATTATTAAACTTGTGTATGGTGGGTCTGGTTTCATGTGAGGAATGGAATTTCGACCCAGAAGCAGACATGACACAAAAGTTGAAAAGTAAAGTTCTTTATTACCAAAATACAATGGAACAGGGCTTGATGCAGAAGACAAGGAAGAAGGCAGAAATTAGCACTGAGAGAAAGCTTGACATACTGACCAAGCGTCACTGAGTAACTTGAGTTTATGATGTCACAGTATCAGAGACTGCAAACAACCCCGGAACATGCTGGTGGACACTGGCAGTAAGGGATGCCATCAAACTGAAGAAGGAGTCCTATCAGGCCTTTATGGCCTGTGGGACTCCAGAGGCAGCTGATGGCCAAGTGGGAAAGCAGCTTCAGCGGTTGCCGAGGGAAAAACCCGGGCATGGGAAGAAATCGGTGAGGCCTAGGAAGCTGACTTCCGGACGGCTTCAAGGAAATTCTGGTCCACCATCCGACGTCTCAAGAGGGGGAAGCAGTGCACCATTAACACTGTGTACAGTGGGGATGGGGGGGCGCTGCTGACCTCGACTCTGGACATTGTGAGTCGGTGAGCAAACTTCGAAGACCTCCTCAAATCCATCAACACACCTTCCTTAGAATCTGAGGACTCTGAAGTGCACTCTCCTACCTCTGAGGTAGTGATGTGCCCGACTGTGCCGAGGCTCCGATGCGTGTGCCGAGTAAACCGGAAGAAAATCTGCGAAGCGCGCTTCGAGGCATGTGTCGATTTCGCTTGTGGCCACGCCCGATGCCTCGGAACGCGCGTTGCTCCGCCCGAAGCTTCGCGAGACGGGACTCCTATGTCACCGCCAACAAATAGATTCGCGGGTGATTC